TCCAAACACACTAAGTACAGCAGAGGTGCATGTGTGTCCACACACTCCAAACACACCAAGCACAGCAGAGGTGCATGTGTGTCCACACACCCCAAACACACCAAGCACAGCAGATGTGCATGTGTGTCCACACACTCCAAACACACTAAGCACAGCAGAGGTGCATGTATCCACACACCCCAAACACACTAAGCACAGCAGAGGTGCATGTATCCACACACCAAGCACAGAAGACGTATATGTGTACTTACACTCTACACACACTAAATACAGGCAACGTGTTTCTATGTACGTCTCAACACACCAAGCACAGTAAATGTGTCTGTGGATCCACACACTCCAAAAAGACCAAGCACAGGCTATGTGTCCATATGTCTACACAATCTAAACACACCACACACAGCTGCTGTGTCTGCGGGTTATATAAACCAAAATATTCCAAAATAAAATTACAATTCTACAGGCTATATTTACTCTCAAAATTAATATTGCAATAAACACAATATTCTTTTTTTTATTTTGCAAAAGGCACCATACCTAAACATCCATGACCTAAACTGAGGGCTCCTGTTCCTAGTCTCTGCAGCTGGTAAGGGGGCTTCTTCAGTTAGCTGGATGAACAATTATGATCTGTGGCTCCACTGAGCCTTTGTCTGCCCAGGCTGGCAGTCTTGGCCTGGGTACCATGGAGAGCCCCCCCCCCCCAACCCTGAGAGAGCTGTCCATCAAACTCGGTGAGGTGGTTGGTTTTGTTTTTGCTGTGCTGTTTTTAATATTCTCATTATTCCTTTTAACGCACGTCTCAGAGGAAATGAAGTTGTGCCTCCGGGTGGAGTGTCAGTCACCCACGGTGCTCACGGCATGCAGATATGGACTGGGGTCATGCTGCCACGCGCGCTGCGGGTTTCGGGGGGGAGGGGGGGGGGGGGGAGTCATGTGACACACAGGACCAAGCAGTGTTGAAATGTTCAGCAAGCATGCATCATGACGACGCACTCTTCACGAGATGCAAAGTGGAAGAGGCCGTGAAACAAAGAAAAGCTGCCCTTTTTGTTATGATAATCCAGAAGCAGACTGGGGTGGTCTTTTGAACAGGGGAGTGAGAGATCACCCCCACCATGCGCTAGAGCTAGAGACCTCAGATTTAATGGCTACAGGCCAGTTACAACTAGGTACGAACTGAGAAATAAGACTAATACAGCTACACTAAGATATAGTATAGTATTATGATTAAAACCAGTTCCTCTTATTTCAACATTCATAGACCTATTGTCATGTGTACACAGTGCAATAAAATTCTTGAGTGCTTCCAACAGGCCATAGTGCCAAATAAAGACAATAAGTACAGCAGCTGACAATAAATAATGAAAAACAGAGTAGAATAGAATACAACACCACTGAAAACTATCCTGTTGCTGTTACTACTTCTACTATTACATTAATAAGCAGTTCACTGTTGTTCTCTGACAGAATCAGAAGCCAAAAGCTGCTTGGTGCTTTACAGCACTTCTGGAAAAATACAGTTCTTAAGTCAGTGGGTTTACATGAAAAAGATGGCGACTGTTAACCTATTAGGGGCTGAGAGATTTACACTGAGTATTTCTACATTTTTTTCCTTTTCAGATCAATAGGGTTGTCGAGCCTCCTCTCGAGCAAAAAGGCTAATTTTCTCCACATCGATAGGAGACACACACATACACACACACACAAAGTTCACTCCCTTAATTCCCCCTCCCCACACAAAACATAGCTGCAGTTTAGCAGAAGCTTGCCTTATGTTCACAGTCCCATTCATTCTGAGATCCACCTGTGCAGTTTCAGGTATTGCTGTCACTATGGCAGGACATTAGAGAGTACCCAGTGGGATGAGATTTCTTCCAAACCAAATCTGACTTCTGACAATCAGGATGTCAGCATAAACAGCTGCTAACACCTCCAAAGACCTTTGTGTCAGGAACTTTTATTCCACACAATTTCAGGTGTACTTACAGAAAACATGTTCCAGGAAGCTGGGTGTGTCAGTAAGTAAATTATGATTCATAATTGCATTATATGCACAATGTGCTGTCATTCATCTCCTCCTCCTGTGTGGCTCAGCTGGCATGAGCTATGGAGTGGAGGTATTTACATTATAACAGAGAGGAGAACCAGGACCATATTAATCAGTCATTTTATTTGAGAAAGTTACAATCCACAGGTATGGGCACCTCAGTAGCCCACCTTACCATGTCCAGCCCCCACTCCATATGCTCCCCCCGACATTCCACTCGCCATTCATTCCCACCCCCCCAGCATCTGACCCCCAAGGCCAACAGATGTCTCCGCAGCCAGGGCCAGCAGGACTCCTGTTCCTTCCCTTCAGGAGTCCTTTAATTACCTGGATGCTTTCCTCTCCAATAAAACCCTAAGTGGCCTAATGGAACCTGATGCAGTCGGCGAAGGCGCTCCCACACACTACCAGCTTTTCTTGCCACTTCTGGGGTTTTTTTCCCCCCCAAGCTCTGATGACCAGTCCTCACATTTATAGACATTCAGAAGATAAAAGCAGAGTATGACAAAGCGCAGCATCGCAATTAATCAAAAAAATACAGGCAACATTCAAATAAAGAAAAAAAAAAACTATCAGTAGTGGCATATTACAGGAGTATTACCTTCACCCAAGAAACAGTGACATTCAAGGGTAAAAACATTCTCCCAATACCATCTCAGTGGCCGTTTTAATATAGCATTTTACTTATCAACCCTCTTTTACATGACACAAAAGAACTACAACAAAATACAGATCATTCTATGTTAAATAAATGTATTTCAACGATCAACAAAAGCTGCAGAACTGGCAGTCGGCGGCAGGCTACCTCCGGCTGTGTTATCAGAAAGCGCGTGCGGGGACACTGAACGCAACATATTCATGAGGTCTAAAAGAGGGTTCCAGCAAAATGTTCTCCGGGATGACATCCATGCAAAGCATCGCTATCTCCTCAGGTTTTTAAGTTGCCGTGTGACCAAATATGTGGCCATATTCAGGAGCTCGATGGATGGCATCTGCAGTTTCAGTGACACTGCAAAGATATCAGCCGTTCTGCAAGGCAAATTTCATGTCCTGGAGGGACATTTAGAGGGGTGAAAAATTTCATGGAGGCCAAACTCAATAAAAACCACACACCATCTTATAATACGGTACATATAGTATAATATGGTATATATACAGTAGTAGAACAAAGCGAAACTCCTTTTCAGGTGGAATATGATTTAGGTCACTCACAGGCACCACTACATTGCTTTACGAAACAGAAAGACCAGTACTCACATGCTCTGTGATGTATTGGTTTAAGCATCCATGATCAATATTCAGATTATTTAGAAAATGATAGATTAAAAAAGATTTTTATTATTATTTTTTTTTTATTTAAAATGACTAGCTTGATGTAAAATTCCCCCCCGCCCGCCTTTATAAATTAGTCAGCATCATAACTTTGATTCATTTGGAGTAGCCGAACACACATGAAAAAAATTCTCCTTTTGTTTAATTTTGACTTTTACATTTTGGCTACATATTAAACCTCCTGGGTGACCCAGAAACAACCACAGGACTGGTCACTCACTCACTCGGTTTTGTTATGTCAGGTCAGCGGCAACTCTGAATGCCACCATCCGCTAGCTGAACTGTGTGACAACTAGGGCTGTAAATCATAAGCTTTGCCACAATATGATTCAATTTCCATTTTTCAAGGCAGTGATTCTGTTATGATATCTGAAATGTTACTGCAAAATGATTCAATTCAGTAATACCTTGTCAATATTTTCAATACAATGAAACATAAGCTGATTTTAGTGGAATCTATTTGAACTGAAGACTTAATGTTTCATTTTAATTTTAACAATAGATTATGTTGAAAAAATTATACGTCTCAAAAACACACAAACATGTCTACACAAAAAACATTCCGTGTTGTATTTGTACTTTAACAACAAAGAACGGTTTCTGGATACGTAAGAAAACATCAGCAAACTGTACTCTCTACTAAGGTGAGTCTCTAGACTGTTTTGTTTGGTAGATTTTATAGCAGTGATTTGGCGTTTTGTCAGGGTTTAATGATATGAATCGATATTTGTTAACAAAATAGACTGAATTGTATCGTAGACTTAACATTCGATATATCGATTAGAATTGATGAATTGTTACACCGCTAATGACAAAACGGACACAGTGGTCCGATAGGAATGTCAGAAGATTGTGTATTCCAGTAGCACCCTAAAGCCTTGTCCACACATACATTTTTAAAAACGGTGTTTTTCCTCCTCCGTTATTAAAAAAAGACAATCTGTGTCCACATGAAAACGCTAAAACGCACTGACAAAACCAGCAGCAGCATTCCAAACCAGCAGGTGGTGACATAACTCTAACCGTAAAGCTATGTTGGCCAATCAGAAGCCTTATTACCAGTTCTGCTAGGCTAAAAGCAGCTAATATAAACAGCAAACGCCACACGCTCTGATGTCAAATGAAGTGGACAACGGCGCACAATCTGACGTTACAAGCCAAAAACACTGTTTTCCCTCTCTACACGCCGACACTGAAAACGGAGTTTCTGAAAATCCTCACCCTGGATGGGGTTTTACAAAAGCTGTTTTTCAGTGATGTACAACGCCGTTTGCATGTGGACGAAAAGCCAAAACACATAGAAAAAGCTCCGTCTTTAAAAATACCTGCGTACATGTGGAGAAGGCTTAAAAGAAAAGATCTAACCTGTGATCATTCATTAAAACGGGCTAACTGTGTACTACCTGTGTACTGTAGCCATGTGATACGTACAGAAGATCTCCCCTTTTTACCTTGAATACACAGATGAAATGCTATTAGTTTCATCTTAATAAAACTCCAAGTTAAATATGGGGGGGGGGGATCATCCCACTGAAGAGAGAGAAAAAGAGCAGGGACAGAAGAAGAGAAAGAGGAAGTGCAACAGGCTCACATGAAAAACTCCACAGCAATGGGCAGGTTTTCACCCATAGGACCAGCATCTCTCAATTTATTAGCATGACAAAGGACACAATCATTCTGGATATGCCTGAATGCAATTTTCATTAACTTTGCAATGATGTATTAACAAAAGCGTCAGGAATGTAATAAAAGCAGCAGGACTCCTCAAAATGCCAAAATAAAAAATAGCAAAAAAAAAAATTAAATAGAATAAAATAAATAAAGAAATGTAATCTCTGTTGAAGAAAAACAGAATTCTGCTCATACGCCTGGCAGCGCTGGGTCAACAGGGTTTCCCGATTCGATCACTAGACATCATGGTGACTGAACTGCGCAATTAATAAAGAAAACGCACAAAATGCTAATGTCTCATTTCAATGTAATTATCCAGAGCTTGGAGCTCAGTGGAACAAGGCCCAGGATGGTGCTGTCACCCAGAGAGAAGCATGGGGAAAGGGGCGGGGGCTGGTGTGTGTGTGTGTGTGCGTGTGTGCGTGTGTGGTGGGGGGGGGTGCCTTGAAGGAGGGACTGTAACTGAGCTGCGGTCACTGAGAATGGCATCAGACACCTCAGCCCCACCACCTAAACTGTCTCCATTATCTGTGCTTCCTCAGGTAAGGTGACACCGTTTGACGGCAGAGCAAAACATAATCCCTTCACTTAATCCTGTTTCAGGTGAATATAGCCTGTGTGCACAACGGTTTTCGCTCGACAAAGGTGACAGGCTGCAGGGTGGGCACAAGCCTGTGGACCCTGGGCGGGCAGAAAGGCGACGTTAACACCCCAGCCAAGAGGGACGACACGACTACCGGCAGTGCGAGCTGAGGAGGAATGCTCTCCATTGAGGTCAGTGTTTCTGGCAGAGAGAGAGAGAGAGAGAGAGAGTGAGTGGGGGCTGGGGTGGGGGGAAGACTGCACTAACAGCTGAAACTTCAGAGGAAGAAAACAAAACATAGCCAGAGGGAGGGCCGGCTGCCTGTCCCTGGGCTTTCCTGCTGGAGAGAGCGAGGGAGCGGAGCCAAGCTTGGGCTGCTGAAACACATGTACATGTACATGCACTCACACACACACACACACACACACACCCTATTACAAGGGGACACACAGCCCTATAGCAGCCCACCCCCCACCCCCTACTGCTCTTCTGTGTCATTAAGATATTATCAATTAATAATCCCTGCAATGTAATAAATAATAAACACCACAGTAAGTCATCTTCAAAGTGCAGTCCCTCCCAGGTGAGGAGGTGGGGTGTTTTCGGAATTATCGAGGCCAGTTCATTACTCACTCCTGTGCGTTGATGGGATTAATAATGTAAGACAAACAAGCTTGCGGCGACCGAGGCACGCGCCCCGAGCCTGCGCCACCTCCTCCTCTCTCATCCGCCGGCACGCTCACGCCATCCTGCCTGCACAACCCCCGGCGCCGATTCCCAGAGCACTTTATGCTGTTGACAGGAAGCGGCAGAAACAGGGTGGTTTTGCTGACACTCTTAGAGGTTGCACTCCCTGCCTGTCCCTCACCTCCGGAGAGCTCCCAGTGTCTGACCACACGGGCAGGTGAGCAGCAAGCCTTTTAGGGACAAAAGTGGGTGGCACATTTCATTGGATGGGCAGCGTCAACAGACGGCAGGTAAAACGGGCCTGCACAGGCTCAACATGCCAAGCGCACATATGGGCACGTGGCACAAAACTCACACTGCGTATACACAAATACAGGCTTGCAGAAGTACCCATACGCAAACACTACCATGCAAATGCAGAGCGTATACACGCCATCACGCAAAAATGACACAGCCTGATCTGCTGCCAACGGATGGCCGAGCCACGCGCAAAGGGGGCAGACTGAATTACAAACCAGGAGAGCGAGCAGGAGTGTGCTTTATTTAAAGCCGCACAGCCGTGCCCAGCAGACACCAGAATTAACCTGTACTCCTGAAAGCAGTGACCTACATAAGCACACACACAGCCGAGCGGCCATAAGGCTGTCACAGAGGCAGTCTTTCATTATACAGCAATCAGTATGGTGCTATGACAACAAAGCCAACCAGCCCCCCCTTGCTTATGTCTGCTGAAACACACCCCCACATAAGGAGCCTACTGATTTGCCTTGAGGAAGAAGTTTTTTTTTTTAATTAAACAAGGTAACGAATAAAAAGCAGTCTGAAAAAAAGGAAAAACTATTTATGTATTGTCAACTTTCTACAAAGCTTATTTTGGCAGAGGCCACTGATGAATGTGTTTCCCTTCGCTCCCCTTCAGGAAAAGAAAATAGCCCCAACTTTGCAATTTGCAGAACCAAATAAATCAATGCAATGTGCAATGGCTACAAATAATTCAACCAGGGGAAAATTTATATGTTTAATTACACACTGCAGGTGCTGGACTTGTTTTCCTCATTACTGTAAGATATATGAAACACGGTTAATAGCATGTAGCACATCGGGACAAAGAGAGGACTAAGCAATTGGCTGCATGTTTCTTACTGGACACGCTCTATGAGTCATTTTAACCTGGCTGTGTATTCTGCTTGCTTCTCCCAAAGTCTACCAGTACGTACCTTAAAAATGTGAGGAATTCCTGCCGAACGTTGATCCCTATCCTTTGCAAATCTACAGGATGGCGTGTTGAGTGCTCATCGCTTGGCTGCAAGTTTGCGAAGCGCGCTGCCATTTCACTGCTAGGCCCTGGATTGGTATCAAACCTGCGAGCCCCTCGCATGGGTCCGGCGTCGGGGAGACCAAATGAACATGGGGCTCTCTGAGGATTTGCTGACTGGCACAGGTAATCAGAGACTCCCCCCCGCCTCTCTGTAGGCCAGTTAACCTCCATGCCCCTGTCACAGGCGTAGGAGTGCTTAAACATCGTCCCAGTTAGGTCCAACTTTCATGCCAGGCCAGCTGCTCCATGCGGGTGGAGCCCCAGTGTAGGAGTTGGCCGGGCCTGTCCAGGATTGTTGCTGGGCCAGCAAAACAGCTTGGAGGGTCCAGTAAATAGGTTCTGGTCCCAGGAATAAGACCCAGATTTACACCACCTGAGTACAGAGTCATCAGCTACCTGGCCGCAGTCACTCATCTGTCCTCACCCCCATTCAAACCTGGCCCATCAAAGCACAAGTCATGAGAGTCACCATCAGCCCCCCCCCCCCACCACCAATATTAACAGACACCCACAGAAGGAAAAAAGATAAAGGTTGGAGCTGAACACTTGTCTCTCAGACAGTGTCAATCAGACATCTGGAATATCTTCCTCCAAAAGGAACCAGATGAGCATGTTTTTCTGTCTGTTACACATATTAAGTGTAGCTGTCCTGCAGCGGGGCACCTCTTTTCTCATTATCACAACACTGGACCAGACCAGAAGACACAAAATTTACCTGTCAGTACAACATCCAGCACGATGGCTGTTCTTTACAACAAGCCACGGGTTCGAGGGCTGCCTTTAACAGTATGGTCGAACGTGTTCAGAAAACAGTGGTAGCTGGTTTATTCATATGAGATAAAGAATTCCCTGCATGATGTTTGTCAGTCACGGTGAAAGAGCTAAAAAGGGACAAAACCAGATAGCAGTCAGCCATTACTGAGAACAGCACATGGGAAGCACTGATGGCCATGCTGACCACTCTCTATCCAGCTGCCACAATTCTCCTCTCCTTTCCCCAATACTCATTCCAGCACTGATGTGAATTTTCCATCAATGTAATTAGTTTCTATATGGCGAGCTACCATTTATAGCGGCAAAATCAAATTTGCTTAATTTCAGGAACAAAACACAGTCCTAATAGAAGCTAACAAGCTATGAATGTCAACGAGCACGATCGATGGGGGCAGCGCGGCCTGGCACAGCTCCTGTCTGTCTCGCAGCAGCTGGCTGCAGGCCAGCCAGTTAGCAGCCCTGTTTCCGAGTGTCCCCCCCCCCCTCCCCCCCTTGCTGTTCCAGGGAGAGCACAGGCGAGCGCTCCTTCAGGCAGGATGGGGGTGATAAACATATGGGCCCAACAAACTTCACCGTTTTAACAATCACCATTGTCCCTCCAATCTGGATGGATGTTGAGAGCACATTCCTGGGCATTGGGCATGGACCACTCAGCTACCATGAAAACGGGCCAGTTTGGACAAAGCGCACATTCTCTCTCGCTGTCAGCTCTAGGTGAGTTCGCCGTAGGCACATGGCCCTCACTACAGCATGTCACGCTATCTTTACTGGGAGTGAAGCGGGCCGTCGCTGAGTCCCAGTACACTGCCCCACACCACTCAATCAAGGCCCCCACCCTTGTGATGACAGGCAGGTTTTCACTGTCACTACCTAATGCCACACCCCACCTACCAAGACAGGTGGGGTACAAGTCTTCTTCATGATGAGTGGAGTTTTATCACCCTTTTCCGTTCTCTCTTTTTCTCTCTCTCTCCATCTTTGCGGGGAATGTGTGCCACATTCCACAAGGCCACTGGCATTGGCTGCTCTGATCGCAAACCCCCCCCTCCAGCCTCATAAAGCCTTCATAGCTGAGTTACATCGGGAACGACCAGCTTTAACAGCCAGCAGGGTTGTGCTGGACTTGGCTGACGTGAGTTCAACACCCAGTCCCATTCCAAGAGCGGGGCACACATGAGCAACAAGACCAACTTCGATATCATACCAAAGAGGACAACAGACCAGCCTTCTGTATAACAAAGGAAGGGGAGGGAGGTAATGGTCACATATGATTTATACGCGATGATCTGCAAGGACACTAGTTTTTACTAGGGCACATGCAGCAATGGCCTCCATACAGAGGGAATGATGTGCAAGTGTGTGAAATGAGCGGCGCCACCACTGGCGGGATAAAGTCAGTGATTTAAGTGTGATTAGTGGTGCAGGTGAGGGGCTGGGAGGGGCTTGCGCTCAATTCCCAATTGCAATTTGGCTTTAATCAGGGCAGGCCTCCCGCGGGCAGTTCTGCGGCCCCCCTGACCCACTTTAACACATCTGGGTCAGGCCCTGTAGCCCAGGAGGGAGGAGCCGGCCTGCGTGTGTGGGTGGGTGTGCGTCTGTCTGTCTGCTTCTTACCTGCCCTATCACACGGTCATGGAGCCTAGCGGGGAACCACCAGCCCGCTGCGTTTTGCTCTCATACAGCCTCACTCCGACTCTGAGCGACAACTCTGGCATGTTAACCCTCCCACCAGGGGCTGACCAGGTGTCTGTGATGCTGAGCTAAAAAGGGATTACCCCAGCTCAGGTTCCCAGGGAAAAAGGTAAAAGCAGGAACAAGGAGGAAGACTGGTGGGAGGAGGCAGGAGGGGAAGACTGAGAGAGCTCATGCTTCCATGCTTCCATGTTTCCTCAGACTCAGAGACTAGGCCTGACTCAACACCAGCCTCTTCCATTCCTCACTGACCCCCCCAATCACTACTGCCTTCTCTATCCCACTCGAAGCTCCCAAAAAGCCGCAAATCTCAGCCTGAGCCTCCACGACTGTGGAGAAAGGTACAGAGAATTTGCTCTTACCTTCAGGGGGAGCGCTCAAACTTCTGGGTGTAAAATGGTCTCCTCCTAGTCCTCTTCTCATGTGGGGAAACACACCCCCTGAAACAAGACGAAGGGCAGAGGCAGAAAATGAGAAATGAGGCGCCCGACATCTCTGAGTAGATGCTTTTGCCGTCAGAACAGCTGACACAGGAAGCAGTCAGAGCGGCGAGAGCACGGCAGGCAGATCATTGGTTAAGCTAACAGGAAAGTTTTGCTTCATGGTAATCTTCTGGAGGCAATTTAAGTGGCTTTAAATACAGATATGTAGTGGAACAATGACTTTGCAGGTACCCTTTTCACCCTACACCAGCCTCTCAGCACTCTGCCAGCCTCTTGGGGTGAGGCAATGAGGCCGCTTGGTGACTCTGGCTCCTCCCCTTCCCCTGGCGAGCCGAAGACCCAGCGGCTGACAGAGAAGCTGCCGCCTGGTCACTCTAAGTGAATGAAGAGAGCTCCCTGCTTGCTCAAGCATACTGGCAGCAAATTGATCCCCCTCAGATCAGGGGTCTGGCGCGTGATTCACAAGAGGCGCCTCGTGGAAAAGGAGCTGCCGGCGAGCTACGGGAAAAGGGCAGCACGGGAAGCGAACAAGGCGGCAGATACAGCGCCTCTGAGGAAAATAACACATTTCATGGGGTGGGGGGGGATCCTCAGCAGCGAAACAGGAGCATCTTCGGCGTGGGGGGGTGCAGAGCGAGCTGGCTCTTAGTGGTGACCCTGCCAGCCGAGTGGGGGGCAAGAAGCGCTCTGAAAGGTCTCGGGGAGGCCACCACGCCTGCTGCTGTCACCGCGCCACAGATCAAAAGCACCAAATCAAAAGGCAAACAAATCCACTGCCATGTCCACAATATGAGCTCCGAGCCTGAAGTTAGCTGCCACAGACCCCCATCCTATTCCACAACCTGTACAGCCTTCACATCCACTGTGAGCCCCGTGCAAAAGATAATGCAAGCGTGTGCGGAAAGCAGCCGAGATGCTAATCACCGGACAGGGCGACAAGGAACCACAGGAATGCGCACATCCAGCTTCCCCTTTATTTTTTCCTTTGCCGCCTCAGTAGTGTGACTCTCTGCATCCAGGGTCAGATAAGGCTTTAAATAAATGTTCCACACAGCAGAACCTGGTATTTCCTTTGTTCCAAATGGCTTGACCTTATGCAGATTTTACTTTATTAAATCTAGCTGTGAAATGAAGAATACTCAAATACCTCCGAGTGTGAATACAGAATAGTCATTGCTAGACTTATCTTTCTTTCATTCACAATATGCATATGAATCTATGCTGAACTGTGCTATTCTGCCATATATTACTGGTGACTTATATACTTTATGAGAAATTACATAAATTACCACAAAGTCACTGGTTTCAGCATAAAGTGCAAACTTTATGTGAGATATAAAAAAAACGGATAAAGATGAAAAACATATATATGCCACTAAGCTGAAGTCTGTGGACATCTTAGTTGTTTAGTGTGTAATAGAGTTCCTTCAACATCTGCGTTTCTAGGGTGTGTGTTGCCACTTGCAAACCTGTGTTTCTCTTTGTGGGATTTAGAGTGAGTGCCTATGCTGATGCTTATGGATGGTTTGTATGCACCTACAGTACAGTGTTTACAGAATGTCTTGAGACACTTGTTTAATTCAGTAAAATACTGCAAATGTATTGGTTTTTATAACAAACATCATTACTTCATTCATATATTTACGAAAAATATATATCACAATGGAAACAACCAGAAGTTTTAAGCAGAACATTAATTTCAAGTAGTAATAAATTGAAACCCAAACTATAGTTCTAAAAGAGCTGTTCTGATTAAAAAGTTCAATGAAAAGCAGTCTCATTGGGTGCTTTTTAATTAGTAACACCTTCGCAATAATACAAAACACCAAACATTTGTGTTTAGTATCCCTTTGAGAACCAATGACTACAATTGCAATTAATAGCAAAACGGCAGGACCAGAACCGAATGAGTTAGTCAAAGAATTATGACACTTAATAAAAGAAAAAGTCTGAGAAGATATGTTAAACATTACTTGTCAATGGGCTTTTGTTATGAAAATAATGAATTTGCAACACTGTTCCAGAATTCAGCAAGCGTCCTAAGACTTTCTGTGAGCACTGTATGTCGAATGACAACCCTGGTGACAATGGCATCACCAATGGACAGTTACATCAGCATGAGCCCCCCTCCACCACCAATCCTCAAACACAGCTCACTAGAGATAAGGAGCATTACCACTTTTACTAGCTCCGCCTTCAAGATCATACATAATAACAGTGAATTAGATCAATTAGATGCCATTCCTAAAAGAGATGCAATTCATAAACTGATCTCATGGAGGGGGGTTGGAAATCTGGTACCATGCAGAACATGAATAGGAATATTAATGAATATTAATACAAAAGTGTCAGAACTGGATCATGTAGGGACCTGATGAGCCGCTAGCTGCACTGACCGCTGAACTTGTGACTTGCTGAGAGCGGCACACAGACTGCAAGCTTGTACAGTAGAGCTTTCATAAATTAGTGTGCTCTGAGGCAAGCCACAAGTTATAAAACAAAAAAAGAGAGTATGGAAAGGAGAGAGAGAAGAAAGGGGCAGACTAATTCAGAACACTAGATAGGGAGAATGTGCCAAGTATGCCTTATGTTTCAAAGGGGACGCTGGAGCTCTACAACCATAAACATCGACCAGGGAGGTCCGTAAAGGCAAACCACATTAAACATGCTTATTTAGAGAGGAATTTTGGCATATAGTACCCAAACTTTTTTTTTTTTTAAGTCTCCTGATCTTTAATCTCCAGGCCAGTGTCTGCTGCACAGATTAAGGCAGCAGCTACTGACAAGTCTGTTAAACCATAGCTGGCTGACAAATTTGGAAACTGAGATTTTTGAGAATTATTTTCAGAAGACTAAATATCTCAATAATGGAGCCGTTTCTTAAAAATGGTTCCTCAGGGAAGGACTAACAGTCCACCAGTTTGATTACGATAGCCAGTGCAAGCCACATTATAACAAGGCTAACCGCAGAAAGGGGCCTTTTAAAAATGAGAGATTTACTTTGGAGCTTCCTGGCTGATTTGAAGAGCACACACTCGGAGGCTGCAGTGGGAGAGGCATCTTGCTGGGCAGCATCTTCGGCTAAGCAGCCTGTCCAAACGGAGACAACGTTCTGACATTTTGCTGATGAAGGAGTGAAGTTGCAATGTGGGGGCATCGGGCCACCTTTGCTCGGCCAGCTTCCAGAAGGGACGGTTCAGCAGTGCTTGATGGCAGCTTAGGGCTAGCTGTGTCGCTAAAGCTGACTTCGGGAAATGTATGAAGGACAACGGCGGTGACTTGTCCGAGCCGTGGCATGGAGAGAGCCCGTTTGCAGATACAGGGATTGGTGGCAGACTTCTCCTGGTGACAGCTAGTGGATGTGGTGTCATCAAGCAGTCCTTAAGGTTGAAGTGACAGAGCAAAGATTCAGCAGCCTGGACTCACCCAGGGATTAGCAAACCTGCCCTTTTTTTAAAAAAAAAAAAAAAACAACAGAAAAACAACAGAGATGCTGCAGCATCATTCACACATACTGCCCGAATCTCCCCAGCACCAGCTGTGTGGAGAACATATCTCCTCTGACTGCTTATTTATTGGAATTAATAATAATTCCATCAGAACAAAGGATTCAAAAGCACAAGTTATTTCTCAATAATAATAGCAAGAATCCCTCCCATTTGGAATAGACAGGCTACAAACAGAAAGTTAAGGATATGCCTGAATAACATGGCTTTGCTTGTCCCTTTCCTCCAAAAAATATTTATTTTAAAATTTCCCCTTGCTCTTTCTTTCTCCTCACCCCCTTTTCTCAGTGTGGCCTGACAAGGGAACAGATGGCAATTTAAGCAGAGAATTTATGAGTGCCACAATCTTAATGTTGCATAAAGAAAAGAAAGAGGCTCACATCAAAGCCACTGACAAATGCACTTGCTAATATTAATGCACTCTTCATTCATCCAATATGCTCCCTAATTGCTTTTCTGTACACAGTAATATGGCACCTGCTGCTCAACGGCATTCGCGCATCAGGAGTGGTGCTCCGGCTCGGCCAAGGCCGCGCTCCCCGCCACCGGCCTTGCGCGCTGCGTGCCGGTGATGGATGCCACGCGGCTGTTGGCAGAGCTTGTGATTAACGCTTCATTCTCGCGGCACGGGGCTGCGGGAAGGGGGGAGGCGATGCAGCTCTCTGGGCCCCACAAACACATCACGGTTTTTGCAGCGGGGAAGAGCCTCTCTCTCTACAATATGGCACCAGGCTGTGCAGAGGGACGGACTCCAACACGAGTGAAACCAACACTTAACATGGCTGCATATGCTTTTGACACTGAGATGTTCCATAAAGTGCACAAGGCAGGGAGGCTGGGAGCCCCACAGCTGCTGGGCCATCCAGTGCTTTGTGCTTCCAACAACAGCCCCACACATGCACATCACAAGGCAATGGGGCAGTCAGTACGCTATTCCAACACCTAAGACCTCAGCACTCCCACGAGTTTCATTAATGGATGACAGCACGTGTTATCACACTGGCAACCTCCATGATGCTATCCTACATGACTTAGAAAAAAATGTCATTGAGACAGAAATATTTCGTATGTCATACACAACAAAAAGGACTGAACTGTGCATCTATTGTACAGAATTACATCTTGTAAGACATCATTTCAGCCCCCCACCCCAAAGCTTCCATCATTAACTCCATACCAGCTGGTGCCAAATACAAAAAACTATTATATATTAGCCATGAAGATGGTTCGCAATTATAGAGTTAAATCGAATAAGTCCTCTGAGAAATGAATTTTCCTTCCTATTTACATCATACTTAATTAATGCATACTGTAGCCTGGATAGCTCGTGCTTTTGCCATGAAACATGCAACATATGTGTCACCAGATTTCATTTCAAAGGAATTTACATTCCCAACAATAAAAGGCAATTTTACTAATAAGTGTATTAAAAATTGGCGTTTCTAACCAAATAGTATGGGTTTGATATGTGTATCTAATGTCCATTAAAAT